TTTGAACAATATGAAGTGTATAAGAAAGGTGGATTGGATACCTTTGTGTCAAATATGGGGTTTGCCTCATAGGGTTGTCTTTCTTTGGATGACCTTATTTGAAATTTATAACCATGGTTGGAAACCAATCAAACTAAATGGTATGAAGAACCAAGAGTATTGAACTGACATCATAAGAATTGAGTATTGAGGTATTGGTGAATTGTGGTTGAGTTTGAGATATCCCACATTGGTGAAGAATTGAAAATTTTGAAGAATATGAAGTGTATAAGAAAGATAGATTGGATGTTCTTGTGTCAAATATGGGGTTTGCCTCATAAGGTTGTTTTTCTTTGGATGACCTTATTTGAAATATATATCCATGGTTGGAAACCAATCAAACCAAATGGTGGAAAATATAGTACAAAATTTATTATAATATTATATATATATATATATATATATATATATAATTAAAACCTTGGGTGATGATGTGACACCATGAGGATTATAAAATTTAAAATCTTGTGGTAATGAGATGGAATATGGATTGGTGCATTTGTGTCGATTCATGGAGTTTGCTTCAGTGGGTATATATATATATATATATATATATATATATATTTTTATATTTTATTTAACTTTTTGAATTATTTGAATACTATTTGTTGATGATTTTATTAACAACTAATATATATATTTATATAGACAATATCCAGATCATTAATCAAAGTACTTATGCTACCGCGCAACGCGCGGTTCCGATACTAGTATATAGATAGGACAAAAAACATAATAGAAAAACGAAAGGTTTAGAACATTTATGAGTTAATGAAAAACAATTAGTATAACCAACAAAATAAATTTAAAAAAATCTAAAAATTTGAGGAAAAAGAATTATAAAATAACTTTTCCACAAAGTGTCACATAAGAAACTTCATATTTTACTTTTAAATTCATATAAAATAATGATACCAAATGCTCAATTAAATACATCTTTGGCTTAAAAAATTTCTTATCATTTTGGAGAAAATAACGAATTACACATTTTTCATTCACGAGTAGAAAAATATTTAACTTATTTAACATTTTATAAATTTAAAACAATAAGTTATTTAATTTGAAAGTTAAAGCTAATTAAATTTGAAGTGAAATTACCAAATAAGTCTTCTTATAATGAAATACATATTTATCATTTAGGGGTAGAATAGTCTATAACTTATTTAATATTATAAAAACTCAAAACAATGAGAAAATTCATTTAGACCAATCCTACTCTAATAATGTGACACATCATTCTTGGTAGGTTTTCCTTTTATATAGATATAAGTTAGTGTCGATTTTTTGAACATGCAACGTGATACTATGTTCATATGCATCAAATACTTGTACCTTATGCTCGTGGTGAAGTCTAATCACGAAATCTTCCAGATTACATGATAAGTCCAAATTTATACAAATATATGCTTAAAAGGGGTCAATTTAATTTAACTTCTAGAGACTATTTAAGTTGAAAATGTGTTGATTTTGTGTTATTTTTGTGGCCCAAACAGCAGCCCAAGTTTGCTGCCCACAACTGCAGCCCATGAAAAAAATAAAAAAAGAAGAAGAAACAGCAGCAGCCCAAAGCTGCTGCCCAAAACCAGAAATCGGGAGAGAGAGACGTGAGCAGCAGCACAGACGTCAACACGACGTGGGTGCGAAGGAGCTGGTTCGTGGGGTTCAAAGCGGGAGCGAACGTGGGCAAAAGACGAGAGGATAAAGGAGCAGCAGGTCACGATGGAGGGAGGTTCGGAGGAT